GTAAGATTAGAAAACAATCGAAATTGAGTCGAATTCGAGTTTTAGACAAACTCGATCCTATTCGATCTGATATTATATAAAAAATTATTTTTTAATTAATTATTTAATTTTTTATTTATATATATATTTATATAATGATATATTTAAATATTTATATTTAAAAAATAATATTTTATTAATTTTAAGTCTGATTTGATTGGATATGATTTATATAATATCGAGTCGAATTCAAGTATAAAAAAATAAAAAAAAATTTGAGTAAAATCGAATTCGAATTTAATAATATATAAAGTTAGGTCGGATTCGAGACGAGCAAAACTCATCCCGAACTCGATCCGATGTCATCTTTAGTGAGTGGAACCCAATCAAATTGATCAAAGCAACACACAGAATGTAGAAGGGAAGGAAAATTATTTCCTGGTTGTCAAACGGATGATGCTCATCCAAAATCAATCAAGTAATTTTGTATCTTGTTCATCATTCAAACCTTATGGTACTTTTTTCAATTCCAAATTCATGAGTCCTATCGTTTGAATTCTTTCTTTTTTCTTTTGGTGGAGAAAGTCCTCCCACCTTTGAAAAGAAGACAAATGATTAGGAGAAATTGATTTGAAAGAAAAACATGGCAAATTTTGATTTCTTAAAAAAAAAAAAAAAGATTTGTTTCCGAATTTAAATTTCTAAACTTTCTTTTAAAAAGATTAGTAATTTTTATTTTTCTTCAAATATCTTCAAAAGTTGAGATCCGTTTGATGGCACTCGGAATTCACTTAGTAATAATTTTTATTGTTTGCTTGTTTAGATTAATTCGATGATTAAATTATTTTCTTGCCTCTTGTTTTTAATTTTCACTTTCATACCTCCTGATTTTAAAATTTTTCTTTCATTTATCAATAAAGCTTTAATTGAATAGTAAGAAAGAGATTTTAAATTTATGAAATTTTTAATTTAAACTTGATTATACGTGGATTTGATTATTTAGTTATATTTTAATTTATTAATTGATTATTTTGTGATTGTAATTTAATTATGATATGATAATTAATTATATAAATATAATACTTAATTATAATTTTAAAATTTATTTATTTTTATAATTTAATAAAACTATCAAAATATTTTCTACTTTCACTTCTATCATATTCTCTGGATTATTTTCAATCCAAACACACTATATATTTTTTTTGATCATCGCCGACGATAACAAGGAAACAAGAAAAATATAATAAAGGAGAACCATACAGTCCTAACTCCCAGTTGACCATTAAATAACCATTTTTACAATAATTTAATCAGGAAAGTTGAATGCAACATGGAGGCAATATCTTACTTTTAATTGCATTAATTTGATTCTATATCCAAAGGTAAAGTTGTATTTTTTTTTCAAATTGTTAGGGATAAAAAATTATTTTTAATTTTAATAATTATATATTCAAATTCTAATAATTTTAAATATATTAAAAAATCGATTAAACTATATTTTGCCTCTTTTTTAATTTAAAATATGTTTAGCCTTAAACAATAAAAAAGCCCTTGGAGCAATTGGACAAGGGTGGCTTGTAAAATTACTTTTGCAAAACTCCATGCATAAAAAATGGGAGCTGTTGGTACTTTCAATCTTGGGATGATTTGGCTAAATAAAATTTTTTATTATAATTCAATGAAACAATAGTATAAAATTTAGACATGCTTGCCCCATTTTTCTTGGCTGGATGCGCCGAAATATAAATATGCAAATAAAGGGCACTTACGTCCAATTAAAGCCATTTTTTTTATTGTGCATGGTAAACAAACTATCCCGTGTATGCAACCTTTGGACCATATAATCAAATCAAAGCAACAAACCCAAAAAAAAAAAAAAAAAAAAAAAATCCTTTCGTAACCAAAACGTTCACTAACAGCTCAGTTGAACAAAAGAACAAACAGGTTAAAAGTTAAACTTTTGAATTTGTGTTTAATAGGACAAACTAGGTTTGATAGCCAAGATTAAATGGTGTGAAGAATTTTGAACAAAAGGCTTGAGGTTGATTTGTTTTTGTTTTTCACTTTTATTAAGTAATTATTTATAAATTTACAATTGACGATTGATGAATACGATGATTTGTGTTATATACGCGATTTTTTATAAAATAGATTATATTTTTATATAAAGAGAGTCGTAATCTGAAAATAAAGAAATATGTTATAATTAATTTTAAAATTTTTAAAATTATTAATTTTTTTAAAGGTTAATGTAAAGGGTTAATGTTATGAATTATTTTTAAAATTATAATAAAATATTTAATGTAACACTTAAAATTTTAAAATTATTTAAGTTATAAATCTGTTAATTAATATGATATTTATTTTTAACATAATTAATTTTAAATAATGACACGTGTCAAACAAATAAAATTTTAAGTATCATATTAATTTATAAATTTGTAATTTAAACATTATATTATAAATTTTTAAAATTTATATATCATATTAAATATTTTACTATAATTTAAAGTCATTCATGATATTAATTATTTTTTAAATATAATTACATGATAGAATTGAATTAATTATTGAATTCAAATACTATATCTTTTACTAATAATTTCATATTATGAATAGTGATGGCAATGAGTCGGGGCGGGGGGTTTTTGCTTGCCCAAACTCGGCCCGACTTGATAAAATTTTTATTATTTTTTATATTCAAATTTGATCTGATCTAACATTATATAAAATCGTATCTGATTCGATTAAAAATTAATAAAATATTTTTTTAAAAATATAAAATATTATTTTAAATATAAATATAAAATTAAAAATATATATAATTAAAAAAATAATATATATATATATAATTGGATAGGGTTGAGTTTGCTTAAAATCTAACCTCGAATTTTTCTTTCTATCACCTGACCAGATCCAACCCAACCTGATACCTAATTTTCAAAAAAAAACTTGATTCTACGAAGTCGGATTAAATCAAAATTCATCAATTTCAGATTTTTTTGACTTCTCTGCTCGTGAAAATTGTTATTTTGTTCCCAAAATCATAAAAAAAAAAAAAAAAAGCTAATTCTTTACAAATGGAATTGATAACCAGATTGTATGGGAAGATTCACTTCTTGCTTTGCTTTGTAACCCGGCTGTCATTTGATTGAATTAAATCCATTGCTTCTAAAAATGAGTGTGTTTTATATATGCATATATACAATCTTTGTGTAGAATAAATTAGTAAATATAATTTTGAATAATGTTTTTGAGATTTTTTTTTAATCCTTAAAAAAATGACATTTAGGCTGTGATTGGATTAAGGGGGTAAGAGAAAAGATGGGAAAAGAAAGGAAAATAAAGGAAATAAGGAAACATTTCTTTTATTTGGTTTGCCATTTACATTTTAATAATGGAAAGAAAGTTGAGCATCTTATCATTTTTCTCAAAAGCTTCAATTTTTAATTTTCTCAAATCAAGGTAAACAAAAAAAAAAAGAAAAAGATTAAAAAATTTTAAATATAAAATAACTTTTATGTTTTTATTGTATTTTATCAAATTTCAAAGAATACTATTATAATACTCAAATTTAACCATTTATGCTATCTTTAAATCTTTTACAACTTATTTCTCAACATTTTTTTTGTCAATGACTTTGTATTATATATATTTGTTAATTTACGCTTAAGTCTTAATTTTTTTATTTTGTTATCACTTCATAAATTCTAAATAATATAATTTTAAAAAATGACAAAAACATGTACAACAATAGGAAAATTTTAATACTTAAACAAATTTATGATTAGTTCTATCTTAATAATAAATATCTAATTTTTTTCCATTTATGGATTAATTTTGAAAAAATATTGTAGTATAAAAATAATTTAAAACATACATTTTATGAATTAATTATTAATAATATTATTTTTAATTAAATTTATTTTCTTAGCTTTTAAAATTATTTAAAGTAGTTAATATCAAAATTATTCAATGATAGAAAAATGTTTTATTTTAAAAGGATAAATTAGAGCAAAATAATATAATATATTATTTCCTTTTATTTTCATAACTTAATCAAAGGTTGTGATCAATTCTTTTTTTTTCTTTACTTATTTTAGCTATCCAAATAAGACAATGAAAAAATCATTTTTTTCCTTTCTTTTTCTCTATTAACTTTAATTCAAATATATTCTGTAAATTTTGAGGTTGAGGTTAAGTATTGACATATGCAATCTTTGTTTGTATTTATAAAAAAAAAAAAATCTTCATAGTTTGCATTTAATTAATAAAATTATGAAATAACACTATATTTTTTTAGTTAGATCATGCATAGTATTATATGATAAAATAAAATTGATAAGTGAATCATCTTTGTTTTACACATGATTTATATCCATATCAAATTACTCAATCTCTCTTTTTATCCACATAGCTACTTAGTTATGCAAATAATGTAATTATCTATATAAGATTATTAATACATTTTTTTTTTACTATTGAAAGATTTTAAAAAATATATGTAGCATTAAATAAGAAGTTTAATCTCATCCAATTTTATTTGGTATATTATACAATGGATTAATGAAAAAATAAATATTTAGATTTTAAAAATATTTTCAAGAAATTAAAAATCTTTAAATTTTCTTTGATAATCTTTGATTAACTCCAAATAAAGTCAAAGAGAGAGAATTCGGTCAAATCAGAGCCGTACGATTAGATCACCTGGAAAGAAAGGATCGGATACACTACGGCCCAGTTTAAGCACAAGTACACTTCCGTCTTAACAAATTGGGTATTTTCGTGATTTTATTAATAAATGAGGGTCAGATATCGCCGATCAAATCGGCGAAGGAAAAATTCGTAAAACGGGGCCATTGGCTACTACTGCCTGGAAAGATGGTAACTCCTGCCACGTCATCATCCAGTCCATTATCTCCACGTCAGCTCCACATATAATAAAATCCCGCAAATACAATACCCATCCAACGGCCTAATCCCTCTTCCTACCCTTTCACTTACATCCAACGGTCCAAATTTCTCGTTCTAGATCCTTCCTGCCCGTTAACGAAGCAGAAGGCAGTGTAGGGTAAAAGAGTTAACTAGGGTTAGTTACTTAACCCAAGCAAAGAGCAAGGGAAGGGCAGAAACTGAGTTAAAACATGGTTTCTCGGAGGAATGTGAGACAGAGCTGGAAGGAAAAAAAAAAAAAGGTAAAAGAAGGAAAGAGAGAGAAGAGAGACAAGGTGCTTTCTTGTGTTTACACAATTGAGTCGACCCGGACGATTTCTTGCCTCCCTTTACACTTCCCCTGATACCTTCTCTTTTTTCAACTGGCCTATTCCGACTCTTAAATCAACTCCGGGATTTTATTTGTTTTTGTTTTGTTTTTTCCCGAAGTTAAAATTTAATCGACAAGGCGGGTATTCGGGATAACTTTGTATCTTTGATATTTCCTTCAGATCTCGACATCTGGTAAGTTAATTTTCTTAAATTCGTAGGTTTAAACTGTTTTTTTGGGGGTTTTTTTAGGTTCATTGGCGGGGTTTTAAGTAAAATGGAACTGCTGAAGGTTCAATGTCCGGAGAGTTCTGCTTCTTATGTATATTTGTTGAATTAATTGAAAATCTTAAATTTAATTTTGGCGTTTTTGTTTTCGTTTTAAATTGACCGTTATTTTTCTTTAATTTCTTTTTAGGAATGATAATAAGCCGGATTTACTGTGGAAGTTTCTTGGATCAGTTGCTAATATGAATGCCTTCTAATATTCATATTAGCAGCTTTGTTATCTTTTAGTAGATTCCTTGAATATTGAAGAAATGCATTAATTTTACTCTTTTTTTTGGAGGTGGTGTTTTGTTTGTTTTGGATTTCATTAATGCATTCATTTTGGTAACGGCTACTTTACTTAACTTAGCTAGCTTTACGCTTGTTTGTTAAAGTTCTAACCATTTAGGGAATGTTTGGGTATATATAATGATACTATTTCTTTTATTTGCTAGATCAAATCAAGGATTTGATTCAAATCTTGGTTCTTTTTGACAGGTATTTTTGGGGTTTCCTGCCGTTTATGGCAACTAAAGATGGCTTATTCAATGTAGTATAAGGATAGATCTTCATTTTGGTCTGCCGATTTTGTGGATTGGGTTCTGTTTCTTCATTTTCTTTTTCAGTTTTTGGGTTGGGGTTTTAGTTTTGGTTTTATTGATTGATGATTGTTGGTGAATTGGGGTTTTTTCTTGTTCATTTGCGATTGGCTTTGGAGTTCGGGGCCTTCTCGGAGGGGAAGAAACTCTCTTCCATTATCACCTCTTTCTCCGGCTGCCAGGAAAGCCGTGATTGGTTTTTCTCGACTTTTCATGTCTCGTAAGTTGGACAGTCCTGTTCAAACTCAGATGGCAGTGGCAGTGTTTAAGAGTCCTCTTAGAGGGGAATATCCTAGGAACAATAGAATGGAAGGGAAACCACCTACTGGGAGGAGACGGGTTTTTGTGCAAACAGAGACTGGATGTGTCTTAGGCATGGAGTTGGATCGCAATGACAATGCTCATACGGTTAAAAAAAGGTTGCAGGTTGCGCTTAACTTCCCTACAGAGCAAAGCTTGCTGACTTTCGGGGATGTGGAGTTGAAGAATGATCTTAGTGCCATTCGGAATGATTCTCCACTTCTCCTAACACGAAACTATCTACACAGAAGCTCCTCTACTCCTTGTCTTTCGCCTACTGGAAGGGATCTTCAGCAGAGAGATAGAAGTGGCCCTATTGAGATACTGGGACATTCTGACAGCTTTAACGTATTAAAAGTTCTGGTGAAGGACATTGTTAAGGCAATTAAGATGGGTGTTGATCCACTTCCTGTCCATGGTGGTCTTGGGGGTGCCTACCACTTTAGGAATCCTAGAGGTGAGAGTGTTGCAATTGTGAAGCCAACAGATGAAGAACCTTTTGCACCAAACAATCCGAAAGGCTTTGTTGGGAATGCCCTTGGACAACCAGGTTTGAAACGTTCGGTTCGAGTAGGTGAGACAGGTTTCAGAGAAGTTGTAGCTTATCTTCTGGACTACGGTCATTTTGCTAATGTGCCACCAACAGCGCTGGTGAAGATTACTCACTCAGTCTTCAATGTAAATGATGGTGTGAATGGACATAAGCCTCACAAGAAGAATCTAGTTAGCAAGATTGCATCTTTCCAACAGTTTATACCACATGATTTTGACGCTAGCGATCATGGAACCTCAAGCTTCCCTGTTTCTGCTGTGCACTGCATAGGGATACTTGATATACGGATTTTTAACACAGACAGGCATGCAGGAAACCTTTTAGTGCGGAAGCTTGATGGTATTGGGAGGTTTGGTCAGGTGGAACTCATTCCTATTGATCATGGGCTTTGCTTGCCAGAAACTTTGGAGGATCCATATTTTGAGTGGATTCATTGGCCTCAGGCTTCTATTCCTTTCTCTGAGGATGAACTTGAGTATATAGAAAAGCTTGATCCTATTAAGGATTGTGAGATGCTGCGAAGGGAACTCCCCATGATACGGGAAGCTTGTCTTCGTGTTCTGATACTCTGCACAATTTTCCTTAAGGAAGCTGCAGCTTTTGGTCTCTGCCTTGCTGAAATTGGTGAGATGATGAGTAGAGAATTTCGGGCTGGAGAGGAGGAACCTAGTGAGCTAGAAGTTGTTTGTCTTGAGGCAAGGAGATTAATGGAAGAGAGGGAGCTGTCATCCCCTAAGTCCAATGTGGGAGATGCAGAGTTCCAGTTTGATATTGACTGTGAGGAACCAGAATTAGACTTAACCCCAAAAATGGCTACAGATGATTTTATAACCAGAGCACCATTCCAATTTGGAAATGGATTTGTGAATAACCGTATTCCACTTTCAAAGCTGGAGGAATGCTTTGAGGAAGATGAGGAAGGCGAAGGAGAAGCAGAGCATGAGGGTTTCTCTGCTTTCAAAGCTCTTGAAAGGATACCATCCATTTCAAAGCTTTCAATGTCACTTAAAGATACTAGCTTAGGTGACAAGAGCCAGAAGTATTCTAAATTTTCTGGAACAAGACAAGAAAATGGCTGTCTTACTAGCTCATCCGGGCATAGGAGTGCAAATGAGCTGCTTCCTGCAAGTGTGAGCTTTGTGAAGCTGGCTGACATGAATGAGGAGGAATGGACCTTCTTCTTGGATAAGTTTCAGGAGTTGCTCAAACCAGCATTTGATAAACGTAAATCTGTTACCTTAGGTCAGAAGCAGATACAGAGGCTTGGTACTTCGTGCCAGTTTTGAGATTGAGGTGCCAGTGTGTCAATACCAGAGAGTTGAGTTGACTGAAGATGAAATAAGACTGTAGGTTTTGTTGGGACCTGGGATGAAGGATTGTTAGTTAGATTCAGTATATGGGTTTGCCCCAGGCAATGTTTTAGTTTGGGAGCACCTGTAGGAGGAATCGCTGTAAATACTCTTTGGCTTCAGCTAAGTGGAGAGCCGAGTATAAAATGGGTGTATTTCTTCTTTAAGCTTTTAGCTTTGATTTTGGTTTTTTCCTTCTTTTCTCTGACTTCCTTATGGACTTTGTTAGATAAATAATATGTAGAATGTAGTAAAAAAAAAGAATATTTATGTAAATGGGGTCATTCAATCCTTGTGTTCTGAAATCTTGCTTAAGGTCCATTGTTCATTCACATGAGTTGGATGGCAAATTCATTGGTATTACTTCTTTGCTTTTTCATGGTTCGTTTTGGATGTATAAGAGATGAATAATGATCAAGTGATGGAATATTCATATGTTAATAGTTTGAATGGAAGATACATGTAATATATCCAAAAAAAAAAAAATAGTAAATCATGATTTTGCTTACAAGTGAATCTATATTGTTATTCCACCGTACAAGTCATAAATGTAAACAGTAAAGCATTATATTATCAGATCCATTCTTATCAATATGTGTGACAATGGGTTGTTTAATCAAACAATATATCATTTTAGATTAAAGTGTTGTCAGTAATGTAATCATTTTTATTTTGTCAATGGGATGAATTGATTTGTTAAAGATAAGATAGATTTTTGCTGTCAACAAACAATTTTCCTTTATCCACGAACTGTTACAATTCAATATAAGTTCTTGAGAGTTACTATATGTCTTGAACCTCCTCTCCTCCCACCTGAACTTTTTGATACCAAAATTTTTTTCATGGTGATTACTTTACGTTAGCAATTCAATAAAAAAGTTCGTATGTCCAAAGTTACGTTGTTGCTTTCCAAAACCCACTTTCGAAATTTTTTTAAATCTAGCAAAAAATTATTTCAACAGAACAGTTAAGACCTCATGTTAAATAGCTAAATTAATCAGATTCTTTTTTGGGGCGGTACAGCTTTTGTACATACAAAATTGAAAAACGTCAGTATCTGGTTATCTTTAACTTCATGACGTCTTTTCTTTGCTCCAAAAACACCAGCTGGCTGGCATCCACGGATTATTTTGGCTACAGTGGTTTCGAATAAACTATGGAGGGGAGGGGGGAAGGAATACAAAAGAAAATATTGTGGATGCTGAGTTGCTGACATTGAAAGCAAGAAAAAAGAAGATTACTAGTAAGCAACAACGAAGGAACATCACATATGTTGGGGTCCCATTAACAATGGAGTGGAGTGCATGATCAGAAATGAAGATTGGCCCTTTTCAACATTCTTTGGCGGGGTCTAATCTCTATCTATCATCATCTTTGTCCAATCGCCATGCTCTTGGTTTTCTTTCTTTCATTTCATTGTCCACAACTGCCATCAACTTGGGAGCTTTTCCTGTGGATGTTTTTGGGGGGGTTTTTAAATAGTTGGCACATGGTTTTTTTTTTTTAATAAGAAGTTTTGGAGGTTATTTCTTTTGTTGCTTGTCCAACTGATCATGATTTCTCAAATGAAAAAAAGTATATTTATATAGACAGGTAATCTTTAAACTCATCATTGGTTTAAATTTGGACTTTCCAAGTTTCTATTTTATTACACTACTTGATTTTGCTTAATAATATACTTTAATTCTCTTAATTCTAGGCTTGATTAATACTTTTATTATTTTTATTATTTTATTATTTTTTTGTAGACAAAAAAACAAATAGTAAAAATATAATAAAAACGACTCAAAAACTGTCTTGATAATCACTTTACCGCATACAGAAAGAAAACGAGAAAAGTCATGTTCTAACACATTAGCATTATTGTTATGACTAGATGTAAACAGATACTTAAATAGCAGAATATAATTACATCATACTGGGCATTTCATTGCTGTGATTCTGCTTTATAGTTAGTACTATTAGTTTGCTAAAGTGAAAAACTGAATAATAAGAGCTTTTATTAAGAGAAATAAGCGGTGGAAGTACACAAAATCATCATTTCCTATTGCATATTTATGTTTCTGCCTGGTGGAACATATAGCAGCTAGCCAACATGAACTTCTCCTGCCTTGATTAGCCTTCTCCTGAGGAAGTTATGGTGGGTATAATTGGCATCCTTGTGGGTTTTATGTATAGGTCAACATCACCAAAGTCACAATCAGGCCTACAAACCAAAGTTTATCTGATTCAGGATAAACATTCAAGATTTGGTGAAGTTCTTGCTCGCAGACTAGGCCTTTCCACCTAAGATTTTACTCATGAAGTTGCTTTATTTCACCTGAAATTAAGTTATATGTAACATGAGAAAGGATAAAGAGATTACTTGGTAAGAGCTTGAAAAATGAAAACTGTTGTGGACCGAATGGGACGTGGCATCCTGATCTCTTACCTAGTTCTTGTTGCTTATCTTGCTACCATTTGTCTTTGCAGTGAGGGTCTATGGTATTTATTTACATTGATTGTAGTTCAAGATAAAATGATAAATCCCCAGAGTGAAGCAGAGAGGCAGGCCAAAAGTGGAGGGGATCGTGGGGCCTTTTCTTGTTTGTCCCTATTATCTTGAAGCAAAATGATAGTTACATTTGGTGAACATATCATTATTCAGGTCTTTAGAGGATAGTTGAGCATGTGGAGAAAAAGGTTCCATGATCCTGGTTTTCTGCTAACTTTGCTAATCTTTGCAATAATATGTCCTTTGCCTTTTCTAGAAAACAAAATGAAACCATTGCTCAAGTTCATTAGACTCTGCCCATATGGAGAGCAGAAGCTGGAATATTTGCTGATAGATCTTGGAGTTCAAGTGAAAATTTCAAACATTGAGAGCCGAAATCATGGAATGATATTTTTCATTTGGGGATTAGGTGAAGTGCTCCATTCATCAAGAGAAAGATGAATTGAAAATGCTCAGTGAGTATTAAATATGGTGGATAAGTTTGGAGTTAGTGCTATAATCGCAGTTTTCATAAAGAGATTAGAAGATGATAGATATCAAGAAATGGACGTTCTAACAAATTATTAGTGTTATCAGAGTTTAATTTGTGTTGAGTTCAAGGGGGGAAAGCAACATCATATCAGCAATGGGACATTGTGTTTGACGAGTAGAGAATGCAGCAGCATTTGTTGGCATGGTGCATGATTGAGATCAGTTGAGAATCCTACTTGCTGCTTGTAAGCAGCAATAAAATCTTATTACTACAAGCAGTTGGGCCGGTTTTCCACAAGGCAAATTTCTGTAGAAGAAGATCATTTGATTGTAAAGAACTTCTTCATACCACACACTTATTAATCCAGGGTTACCCAATGTTAGCAATGTGATAAATCAAACCCATGGTCCAGCTTGGCAAATTGTGGCCATATCCAAATGTCCTTGTGGGCAGTTGAATTTGACATAGGATGACTAGATAAAAAGAGTAGCCCATTTGTTGCATTCCTTGTTCATCAAACTAAAAGCATTTTCGGATTTGAAACCTGATCATATAATTAAAGTGCTACACGCTCTAGATTTGAACAGGATCATGAAAAACAAGGCATAAACAATGTTGAGAGAAAGATTTATGAATTGTCCAACTAAAAAATTGATAAGATCGTCAACCGATAATGCTTGGACAATGACAACACAAGACAAGATCCGTGACCCTCTGCCAAGTCTAGATGTTTTCTTTTCCTGGCTAAAAATTTAGATAAGTGGTGCAGGTAGCAGGGAAACCCATGAAGTTTGCAGGCCTTTTCTAAATGGTATTGGGCCTTCAGCTGCTTGCCTGAAGAGTGTACTAATACCAGTTGGACTTTCCCTACGTGAACGTGGGTGACTCCCTGGCGTTCTTCCCACTCTTCACCAATGGGGACACACGTGCTGATGCACATTTGCTTGGTATAATTAGTACAAGTGTTTGGATAACTAAAATAAAGTAAATTCTAGTGCTTGAGTTTAAGGAATGACTCCCCAGTGAACACCCTTTCATCTACCTAATCTTGGGAACGAACGATGAATCATTTGACAGCCTTTGATTGCTTTGCCAATATGGACAGAAACAGGATTAACATGTAAACCTTTGCAATTATTTTATTGTTGTCGTTAGGACATCAACTCCATAATCATCATCATCATCCTAAATATACTCATATACCAATATTTTGATTGGTGGGGGGATAAATTGAGAAAAATGCATGTGTTGTTACTATAAAGTAAATAGAATGAAGAATAAGGGATCTTATTAAGATTGCAGATTTAAATAGTTAAGTTAAATTGTGATAAAATGAAAGCAATTTGAAAATTCATTTTTGTAGAATAAGGAAAGAAGTTGCAGATGCTATGTTTTAAATTTCAGATATGTTATATGTCATCTGTTAAAAATGATTGTATGAATTAATTGAGCTAAATCTTGAGATTGAATATTTGGTATTTAGTTGCCAAGAAATTAATCCTAAATTCACATTCATCTACCGGACTTAATTATAGCAATCCAAGGCTTCTATTTCACTTAATATGCACAACAGTTACTAGCTATTTTTATGGCGGCCCCTTTTATGACTATTACATCAATTCAAGAGCTTAGGTGTTCTTCAGTACAACAAAAAAGAGAGAAAAAGGGACTCAAATTGAGTTAGTAAAGATGTTAAATGTGCCTCCAAGGTCTTTCAGCAAGGCCTACACATTCACTGTACCGGAAACAATCAACCAGATGATCAATCGTCAAACCTGCTGCTTGCATGAATGAATACACAATCACAGGCCCAACAAACCGAAATCCGCGCTTCAGTAAGTCCTTGCTGATGGCTTCTGCTTTTGGAGTTCTAAGAGTAACATTTCTAGGGTACTTGAATTTGTTGATGGTAGGTTTATAATTCACATAACCCCACATGAAGCTGCTGAAAGATCCATATTCCCTCACAACCTGTATTTGGATAAATAAATTCATTGAGTAATTGAATATAAGGCAACAAAAATAATTAAAATTGCAAAATCACTTCCATTTTAAAACTTGCCTTCAGTATACATTTGGCATTGTCTATTATGCACCTTACTCTGCTCTCTGCCAACATGATTGCTTTGTTTGATGATATCTCATTTATTTCTTTATCCCCCATTTTAGCAACAATTTCAGGATCAAAACCAGAGAATGCTTCTCTATATGATAAATAAAAAATTGCAAGCTTTAATTCAATGTTCATCAAAATTTGTAGATAATGTACATGCAAAATTGAAGAATGTACCTGTATAGCTCCTTTCTTTTCAAAATCTCTGTCCAGTTGTAATCCATCAGCATACCAGACAACGCAAGCAGCTCGAACAATTGGCTGTTTGATTACTTACCACGTGAAGATGTCAAAAAGTTGGATTAACTAGTGGGATAGATGCGATGTAAATGAATTCGAACAACTTACTTGTCATCATAAACAGGAACTCCCCATTGCTCATCATGAAATGATATGTATACCTTATCTGCATCAAAACTTCTGTTAGTTTCTTAGCCACCAAGTCATCAGCAACTTCTTCCATCTTTTTCAGTGTTCTCTTCTTTGCTTTATTTTATATTTCCCAGCCGGTTCTTGTACGCATATCATAAAAATTTATGGGTATTTCTAATGTCTCAGGAATCAAGAGTTACCATATTCTATTATCCTGTAGGAGAATTTTCAAAATGTAACTATGAGGCTATGACAAAGCAACTTGGCCTTTTGAATTTATGTAGAACTCTCAACTGCTAGATAATGATAGGTAATTAAGTCAAGTTTCTTGTTGACTAAGGTGGTCTGATTATTGCGGGTGTTCTATACTTTCAGGTTAATGTGATTGATGACACAGATTCCACAGCTTAACCACCGGAAGCAATGTAAAAAATTTAGCACTAAAACAACCACTTAGACACTGTACACTGTAAAGGGTGATTCTTGATTGTCTCACTTGAATATGAATTTCATGTCGCTTTCCAGCTCATTTTAGTCCAAGCACTTGGTAAAATTTTCTTTCATTGACTGACCAAAAATAAAAAATCAAAATGTTCGATAACATGTCACGTATTAAGAATGCTGGTGCCATAGCAGCTATCAATTATATCATATTTAGTAACATCATGTTAGCTGAAACAATTAGTAAAGAGATCGATATTTACAAAAAAAAAAAAATGATAGAATTTGAAGTTGGTACACTGTCATTATGATATCTTTGTGAAGATGAGCAACGTGTTTCTAGATAAGCTATATTACTGTGGTGGAGAATGGAGATGGTGATAGGAAAGAGCCAAAAACTGGTACGAAAAAAAAGAAGAAGAGCAA